GACAGGGATCTGCGCGCGGTTCTCGATCATCCACCTGGCGTGCATCAGCTGTCTCTTACGCTGAATAGGGATAATGCTCGACAACGGGAGGACGTCGTCGATCCGTGTTCACGTTCTCGTCACTGAACATGTGGCTCTATCGCCGAAGAGACCACGTGTCAACACAAGGGCAGCTAGTGTCGTCTCGATCCCGCGCACACATCTGCGCGGAGGTGGTTCACATCGAAAGGGACAAGCAATGAAGTCTTGAAAGGAATGGACGAGCGAGCATGAACACACAACAAGAAAACGAATAACAGAAAAGGAATGAACGAGAGAGAGTGAACAGACCACAAGAAGGTGTGAACGAGTGACACAATGCAAGGGTTGGATGTCGCGGACTCGAATCCCTTCACGGCGACAACGGTACCCGCCACCCGCTATAAGTGGCACGATGCATGTACCTCAACCCCAACGCCAGCAGTTGTAGTCGATGGCGGACACGTGGCCAGACAGAACAGCACCGTACCTCGAATGGCGCGCTTGGCCATGTCACAAGGGCGAAGCGCGGACGACGGCGGACACGCGTTGACGCGGAACGCAGAGAGGGGATGTCGAAGCTGAGTCGACTGACGCGATGGCGGGGGGAAACCCAGACGCCCGCTCTTGGAGACATGAGCCACGACAGCGGATCGGCGCAGGCGATGGAGGACGTCGCGGACGTGACGTCGCGCGGACCAGCTCGTCGGGCAGGAGACGCAAATGGGCAGCACCAGACTCTAGGCAGGTGCTCATCCGTCGTCACACCCCACGCCAGGTTCGAAGATGCACGTCGGCTGCCTGCGCCGGAAGTGGCACAGACACCATGTTAGAAGACGCACGACGGCCGTCCGATCCGCAAATCGGACGGCCAGAATGCGACTTCGCAATGTTCACTGCGAAAAACTGGGCCCCGCCGCCCCCGGTGCCCCCCCCTCCCAGCCGCAAACCGAAAAATACAAATAGCCTCGGCCTGAGAACCCCTTTGGCAGGGCCCGCGAACGCGACGACAAGAACGCAAGGGGCCTGGAACAAGGGCCCTTTTTCATGACGCGCGGGAAGGGACATTTTTGCCATGTCGTGCGCACCGGGTCCCCCTAGCGGGAAATTTGACGTGTAGCCACCGTTCGATGCTCGGCCCGAACAGTCATGCGGCGTCAAACGGATCCTGCATTTCACTCTGAAATGGAAGGCCCGAAGGGGACCCGACCCACGCCCGCCTACAAATACGAGCGGTGTCCAGGGCATGAACGCCGCATTCTGCATTTTTGCTGGGGAGATGTTGTCGGACGGACGCCTTGCCCCACCACTATTGTCAACACCATCACCTCGCACAGCTGGAGCACCATAGGTTGCGAAGCGAATGGACACCCGTTCTAAGCCGTGGTCGCTTCCGTCGCTTCGATGCATCTCCCTCCACCACCCAAGTTACTGTCCACGTCATCTTCGACGTCGCACGTCGACATCCCGTCGACGCTGCGGGGATCTGTTCAGGATAATCGCATCAGCCGCTCCACTCATAGCCATTGCAGATACAAAGCGCACGGCAAAAGGCCGGCGCAGTCCTGTCTCGATTGACGTCGGGATCCACACGCATCTCCACTCGACAGTCTCACACGGTGAGTGCGCACGAACCCGGGACGTGTGTGTTTTTGTGTGCGCTGGTGGGCGGGTTTTGTGCTGACATGTCCGCGCAGATTGGACGAGTGTGCGTTTGCATGTGCGCGTGCGGTTGTGTGTGTGTGTGCAGTTAGAGGCTGTTTGTCTGCGCGTCTCGTGTGTGCTTACGTGAGTGTGCGTGAGTGTGCGTGAGTGTGTCTTCGAGTGTTTTCTTTTTTCTGGGTTTGCATATGAAGTGCACTGCGCACGTGCAAGGAAGCATTGTGCGTGTCTTTACGTGAGGGGCGTGTGTGTGTGTGGCGTGTGTGCACGTGCGTGTGTGTGTGTGTGTGCATTTGTCTGTTAGTGTGTGAGGGTGTGTTGTTGCGCTGATTGAACGCGTGGAGGTTGCCGCCAAGGTGTGCGGCCATGGGTGAATGAATTGTTTCGCATTCCGAGGGTGCTCCTGCTGTGTTCGGGCGTTGCGCGATGTGTGTGCAAAATACCCGGCGATTGCGTACGTTATAACGCACAACTGTAATTTGGTGTGCTGATGGATGGAGAAACATCCAATCGAGCGCGTGGTGATTATGTTTCGTGACTGGCCCCAGCGCGTTCGATCGGAGCTTTCGACATTCATCAGTTCATCAAATCATGAGCACTGACCGCACTCCATTGTTCCTGTTCGCTGTTCCAATGACGTAGCCGTCGATCTGCCCAAAGGATGAGTAATCGAAACACGCGGCGGCAGAGATACAATAGATGGATAGATAGACAATATTCATTGATTTCATAATAATCATTATTGATTATATATAGTCTGGACTACATATAATCGAGGAATATTATCTATCTATCTATCTATCTATTGTATCCCTGTTTTCGTTTCACCGATGAACACAACAGACAAGAATATTGCAATGAAGAGTATGTAAGCACTCGACCAATCGACCAATCGCGGAACACGATCAGATTACTATCGACATTGTCACCGCGTGTTTCGATCGCTCATCCATTGGGAAGCTCTCATGAGCTGATCAACTGATGCATGACAAAAGCTCCGATCGAACGCGAGGTGACCGATCACGAAACACAATCACCGCGTGGCTGATCGGATCTTTCCCCATTCATTAGATCAATCATCCACACGTGAGTGGTGACATCGACGAGACCACACGTGAGTGATGAGCAGGCCCATCACGATTGATGGTGTGTGATGTCGCAATGATACCGCCGCTGATCTGCCCAATGGATGATTAAGCAAATGACGAAAGCTCCGATTGTCGAGAAAGTAGACGCATCCAATCGACCAATCGCCGAACAGGACCAGAAAGGTCGTGATGGGTCGACTAATCGTGTGTGCTGTCCCAACGTTGTCACCGTGTGTGTGTTTTGCTCGTCTCAATTGTAACATCAAAACACACGTGGCAGCTCCCTCTGCGCGATCGACCAACTGGGCGGCGAGCGACCAATGAATCACACTCGTTGACGCACACCAACCGAACAGTAGACTGGTCAAGAGATCTGCCAGGGCCAACATGACTGAACTACTGCTCGGTTGGCGGTTGGACGACCGGTTGATCCACCATTTCACCAACCGTACAGCTGAACAATAATTCGATCCTCGCAGATCTCCTGACCAATCGAAACACACGTGGCGATGCGCGTGTGTCTGTGTGTGGGCGTGTGTGTGTGTGTGCCGTGTCATCACTATAACCCATTTTGTGTTCCAGTCGTTTCATCCGGGCGCCGATCGTGGCATCACCCATTGTGCGATCGCTCAACTAGCAGGCGAACGACCGATCCAACAAACTGGTTGACAGACCGATCCAAACAATCGATCGGTCAGAAGATCGAGCAGGAGCAACTGGTTGATCGACTGCTCGGTTGGTGGTTGGTCAACTAGTTGATTGATTGGCCGTTCGCCGACCAGCTCACCGATATGTCAGCCGAGTGGTTCTCTGTTCTCGCCCCGATTGCACTGCATTCGACCTGCCACCTTGTCCATTGGTCGCACGCAACTCGCAAGGCAATTGATCAAGCTCACGAACGAAACCCGTGAACGGATTAGACAACCGGTCGAAAAAAGGTCGATCCATGTTCGCGAATGGACAAAAAGCACTTTGTGACAACCTTGTTGCACATCGAACGTTCTTGGCCATCGAACCTTGTTGGCCATCGAACCTGGCGCCTCATCAAACTTCGGCGGGCATCGAAATTTTGGCGGACATCGAACGCCACCGGACGTCGAACCTCGTCGGTCATCGAAACTTGTTGGTCATCCAATGATGAACGTTGAGTAGCCACCACACCCCGTGTCGCCGGCACAGTCCTCGAAATCGAAATGAGGTCGTCCCAATCCGCCATCACGACCTATGAAAATGTGAAGTCCGTCGGGACCCGAACTTCAAAAAACAACGGGAATGCGGTCGTCGAATCGCACTCCCACCCAAACATGTCGATATGCACAGACGCAACCACAGCGGGGGACCTGTGAAAATGTAAAGTTCGCTGGGATCCGCATTTCAAGAAAGTACAGGAAGGCGAGTTTTATAGACATTTGTGTCTCTCCCACATAACCTCGGGTTCCCGCCTTTCGCAAGACCCAACACGAGGTGCAACCCCAGCGGGCAACCACAGCGGTGGACCTGTGAAAATGTGAAGTCCGCGGGGATTCGAACTTCAGGAAAGAATGGAAAGGCGAGTTTGATAGACAACTGTGTCTCTAGCACGGCATTTCGCCAAGTACGGATCCCGACGAACTTCAGGTTCTTGCTTTTCGTAAGACCCAACACGCGGTGCAACCCTAGTGCACAACCACAGTGAGGGACCTGTGGAAATGTGAAGTCCGCCAGGATCCGAACTTCAGGAAAGAATGGAAAGGTGAGTTTGATAGGCAGCTGTGTCTCTCCCATGACATTTCGCCAAGTACGGATCCCGACGAACTTCAGGTTCTTGCTTTTCGTAAGACCCAACACGCGGTGCAACCTCGGTGCACAACCACAGCGAGGGACCTGTGGAAATGTGAAGTCCGCATGGGTCCGATCTTCAAGAAAGCATGGGATGGCGAGTTTGGTAGAGAGCTGTGTCTCTCCCTCGAAATTTTGCCAAGCTCGGATCCCGGTGAACTTCAGGTTCCCGCCTTCTGTAAGGCATGTTTGCGGCTTGACTGCTGGCCCACAGATCCTAATTGTGCGTGCACGGTTCCTCGCACAATCGACAAGTTCGGACTCCGACGAACTTCGGACTCGTAAAAATGCGTAGTCCGCCGGGATCCGAACTTCTGTCGCACGGTTCCTCGCACAATCGTTAAGTTCGAAACCCGGCGCACTTTGCTTTCCGCAAGTTGAGGGTTCTGACCGAGGGCTTTCTGGAATGTGAACGTCAACTGCCAGTGCAACAACGATCCGTGTGGACAATGTCGTTTGATTACTCGCCAACTCTGTTTACGAGTGTCAACGTGCCCGTGTGTATCGTTTGGTATGTGCGCGTGGTGTGTAGGGCGCGTAATGGAGGCGACCTTCTCAACACCACGGATCATGGAGTCGATGTTCTCGACACCACAGACCATGAGTCCCGAGACGCACATTCGCTTGGCAGAACCGTTTCCTCCTTGTGCGAGATCTGTGCGGCATTTCGACGGTGTGACTACGATCCAGGGAGCGACCGCCGAAGACTTCGACGAGGACCCCTGGATGACCGTCGTCCCGTGCATGGGCAGGCATATTGACGGTTGGTGCGACGACAATTGGGCCATGATGGAGAGTGACTGCCCTTGGGCAGGCCAGGACAAGTTCGCCAACATGTTGGAGTTTGGGGACCTCATCCCGATGCGTGACGCTGTCCTCGGCCACAAGTTCCTGAACCACATGCGCAGAGCACTAGGCTGCATTAGCCGATATTTCAGTCGCCTCGAGTGCCACTACGTCACGTCGTCACCACGAACTTGGGGAGGCTCGCGGAAACGAAAGTTGTTGGACTGTGCTCGTCAGTGCCCGTTCCTGGAGCAGTACCCGCTCCGTTGCCCGGGGAATTCTCCACAAGCTGTGTCGTACTGTTGTGTGCGGTTAACTGTGTCCAAATCTGATTTCGCCAGGGTTTTGCGTGTCGCTATTTCGAACAAGAGTAGGAAACTCGTCGATGCGGTTGTGCTTGTATCATGCAACGAGATGGTGATTGAGGGGTCCAGATTCGTGCCGATGCCCGGGCCTGCTCGTGTAGATGGGTGGCGAGATTTGGGGATAGCAGGGCCGGTCCAAAACTTTTCATTGCATCACGAGGTCGAGGAGAAAGTGTCCGACATACGGGACTGTATAGGGAACTCCTTCGCACGACCGGGAGTGTTTGTCAGGATGAAATACATGTCCGTCTTTTCGGAGAGTGCAACGGTCGACGATCCGCTGGTCCGCGCTTACGGATTATCAATGAATGCTTTGTATGGATACGGTTCACGACCTCATCCTCGGGGAACCCCGAATGTCACAAGATATGGACTTGTGGTTGGACATTGTGTTTAAGCGAAAAGAAGGGAGACGAGTAAGAGGCTTGTGTGCTGCCGAAAATGGCCGACTTTGAGTAGTGGAGAAAGGTGTGGGAGGCAGCAGTTACTAGTGCACGCCGTCTCTTTCCGTGTCGCGCCCCCTTGAAGTTCGGATCCCGGCGAACTGCGTGGTTTGGCCTGTGCGTCCGACCAGCCTCCGAGCTTCGAGTGTTGGGGGGAGTCCGAACCGGTCCTGCAACCAATTCCGCCTGGACATGCTCGGGCAGCCTTTAGAGATGCTGGATCGCAACTGCGGCCAGTTGCGCAGAGGGACTTAATGACTGCTGCCATCAAAACTTGTGGCCAGTCTCGCAGGCTCCTGAAGTTCGGATCCCGGCGAACTTCTAGTGTCGCCTGTCTATTGCCACAGACGGTGGTCTTCCGGATCCCTCATGGATTGCGGCAACAGTCCGAGTCCAGGGACCCCTGAAATGTTGTCACGGCTGCCACTTTCGAACTTGGGTTCATCCAGTGCCAAGCTGTGCATTTCGCGAAATCTGACATCAGAAGAAGTTCAGATTAGGGCGGACTTCTCCATTTCAACCACCCTTTCATTCCGGTGTGGCCTTCCCAGGTCGTGGTTAAGTTTGACAACCTCGGACTTGCGGATCGTGTGTCTCTGACGCCGTTTCTGCCTGTCGCATCATCCTGAAGTTCGGATCCCGACGAACTTCACGTTTCGGGAGGTGCGTTGGTTTGTCTTCGGTCTTCGTGGTTTTGGGTGGATCGTACAACCCGCCCGGCAACAGTTTCGGAGTGCGTTTGCTCGAACCCGCACCCTCTTCTAGTTCGGATCCCGGCGGACTTCGAGTGTTGGACTGTCGGGGTTTCAAGTGCCACGCGGGGAACACTACCCCGTCAAGCGCGAGCTTCGAACATGACCGCCAGATGATTCCCGCGAAAAATTCCCGAATTCTGGTTCCGCCATTTCTATCTCACGCACCGTCCTTTAGTTCGGATCCCGGCGGACTTCGCGATTTTCGCTGTGCGTTGGTCTGTCTTTGTTCTTCCGGGTGCCCCGTCTACGGCGTCAAAAACGCTTGATCCCATGCACACTGCAATTTTTCACTTGCTTTTCTCTCTCTCTTTCTTGCTCTCGGCCTCATACCCTCCTGAAGTTCGGATCCCGGCGGACTACCCGTTCTCACCGTTCGGATTTGGGTGCCTCGGTGTTTTTGTGTGCGGATTTCGCTGCGCTACAGCCTGCGTTGACGTGCGGCAGCGACTGTTCTGTTTCTCCTGTGTTTTGCCAAACGTTGACTTCATGGTGTGTTGTTTGGTTTGCATTGTCGTTCGGAGACAGTATGTCTTCTTCCAAGGGCGAGGTGGAGCCAACAGGGACCTCCGGGAAGGAATCAGGAAAAGATTCCACGAGGCGGTCGTCTACTGCCACGAACGGGTGATCGTACCATTCGAGGTCGAAATGGTTCATCGACTAGTGCTGTGGAGACGCTTCCAACCCCACCGCGCAGCTATGTGGTCCTGTTATCTTCATCGATGACAACAGAAGGTGTAGAGTGCTTGGGGCCATTTTGCGGTGGGAGGACGCAAAGGGGGGCCAGCGACATTTCTATATGCAAAAGGTTTATGGCGCCAGGGGCAACGTCGTTGCCAATTCGAAAGGGACATTGTTGGACCTCGAATTGTGTGAGGGGTTTGGAGCGGGTGCTGTGAACACCCCGTTCTACAAAGAACTTGTTCTCGGGGGCGGTTTTGTTTTGGCGCATGAATTTTTCGACATGTTGGAGGACAGGAACATCGCTCTAGACGTCCCCTGCGACGTCGACTCCTCCCTGGAGCTCTCGTTGTTGTTGAGGCTGTGCGGCGGTTGCGAGTCTAGCAGGGTAGCGGCGGAGGGCGGTGATCTAGGGTTTGGTCCCGCCACTCAACTGCACCGTGGCGAGAGCCGAGGTCAGTTCGACGACAGCGAGGATGAGTGGTCTGCTACGCCATTGAGGGACACATGGCCGTCTGTGTTGTTTATTCCTGGGGTTCAGACTGACGCTCCGGTTCAACGGAAGAGTACGGAACCTGCAGGAGAGGTGGCGGCCTCTTCGGAGGTCGACTTGGAGGCGAGCGAGGGACAGAGTGTAGAGGACGTAACCGCGGGCGGCCTGGGCTCGCAAGGGGCTCCACAAAAGAGGAGGGGGGATCGACCAGACGAGTTCGCCGGTTCTACGAAGAAGTTAAAGAGCAAGGCCCCCAGGATTGAGGGGGAGAAACGCAAGAGGACCGAGGGGGAGCAGCGACGGCAGGTTGCCAAACAACCGTCTTTGAGACAGAAGCAGCCTGAGTCTGGACCGTCTTCTCCGCCGGCAACAGGGACTCCCATCGACGTCGACGTCGGGTACTTCCTCGAGTACAAAGGCGGCGTTCAGACAAAGAGGGAGTTCGAGGTTAGCCCTGCGCAGGTCGTCGACCTCGGGGACTGGGAGGACCTGTACAACCAGCGGTCCCAGGATCCCGTGCTCGTGGAAGGGATCAAAGAAGCGATGCGGTTGGCATTCGAAAACAAAGTGCAGTCTTACGATTTACCTACCCTGACGCTGGCACCGCTCGGGCTTGATAAACCGGCTACGGGGACCAAGGTAGAACGTCTGAGGCCGAAGGATTGGAGGGATGAGCTGGCGGGACAATACTACTACTACGCGGTGTGTGGGCAGCACAACGCGGCTGCAGCGAGGTGGCACGAAAATACAATTTCGAGCGGTGGCCTGCACGAATGGTCTACTTTTTGGACGACGACTTCGAAGGGTACTTCCTTGTCAGTTCCTAGGACAACAAGGAGGACCTGAAGGCGCCCCCGCGACAGCTGAAGCTGTCAATGAGAGACATTAGGTGGCAGTAAAAGCGCGTCGGTTGCCCGCGTGCTGTTATGGGGAACCCCAGCGGTAAACAGGATCAGGTCCGGATGTGGCAAGAATTATGTAATGTCGCGCTCAACATGACACTGCACAACAACTTGTGGATTCTCGCAGATCAGAAGGGCGAGGGGGACATCAGGAAACAAGGCGCTGCCCTGCGTTCCTATTTCCCGCTGGCGATGGCAGGGGAGAACGTCTGGAAACTGGCCGTCGAGTTCTTCGAGAAATGGGAGACAGGCAGATTGCTCGGACACGACGGCACAAAGTGGATCATACGGAAGAAGAAAGTCAAAAACGTGAAGCCTGGGGTTGCCTACATCGACAATGACAAGCTCGGCAGGAAGGAGGTCGTGTACAACCTCCCTATGGACCCGCCGACAAAGAAAGGCAAAAAGGAGAAAGAGGAGGTTAGTGGTTCGTGCAAGTGCCAGAGCTAGACGCATATTGTTGGAAAACGATGGAGTTGCTGACCGACAACGAGAAGTGCCGCGTCCTGAAGAAGGTGCTCGCTTGCGAGGCGGTTTGGGTCCAGGCCGCCTCCCCGGCGTTGGCGAAGCTCCGAAAGCTGAGCATCCAGGCGATGGTGCATTTGGTGAAGTGCGATCGGGTGCCAGTGCGTCTGTCGAATTACTACCAGTTCAAGCACGACAAAAGGCCAGACGCGGATTGGAGCTAGAGGTGCCCGTTCCTGAAATCAAGGTCCGCGATTTTCAGACAGTTTGAGATTCGTGGTTTGGATGCTGAGTTGTGGGACGGGAGCAAGAAATACGTCATTGACTCCTCGCTGTTCAAGGACTGCCCGCCCTACATGGGCTGCGACGACGACAAATCGATCGGGCGACGGAGAAGTTGGCCGGTCACAAGAAGTTGTTTATCGACTAGAGGAACAAGGTCCTGTCCATGTTGACTGGCAGTAGACTAAAGAGTCGAGAGATCGCGCTCGCCGAAGGCATTGTGCACATAAAATGGAAAGACACGGGCGACGTGACATCCATCGCGCCATTCGACAATGACCCCTTGGAGGCAGACATAAGGAGTGCGGAGGTGAAGGAGGCATTTGTTGCCACAAAGAGTCACACGTTCATCCTCGATCTGTGCAAACCGGTGGACCTGAAGCTTTGGAAACCGCAAGCGTTTGACACTCTGGATTCCCAACTTCAGACGTGGTGTCCGTCGCATTGGACGCTCGTCGTTTTCGTCCCGCGGCAGCAGAATCTCTCCTTTCTGGCCAGCATGAACCATCTTTCTTTCGTCAAGCTGCTAAAAGGGAAGTGGGTGAGGAGGAGTCAAAAGAAGAAAAGCTTCCCCGTCGGGAACAATTTGTACACGGAAGACGACCGGATGTACATACTCTTCAAAGGCGACGATTTGCGGGCTAACACGTCCGCCGTCTACGAGGGGAAAATGCCGGCAGACGCCGCTGCTGCAGTGCGGCTACCACAAAAGGTTACGCAAACGGATGTGTCCCACATCCCGTTCAACCCTTGCGACTGGTCGCATACCTCGCCTGCACGTCGGGGCAGTGTGTACGGGGACATGGAACGCAACCCCATGCAATTCGTTAATCTTCTCGAATCCGTCACCAAGAAGGGGGAGGGTGTCGTCTTCCTCGGGAAGCCACACGCGCGATCAGTGTGGGAAGTACTGAAGGCAGGACGGCACGTCATCGCGATGGAAGGGAACTCCGAGCTCTTGCAGTTTACAATTGATCTCGTCAAAAGTGAGGTCAATTTGGGTGCCCACAATTGCGAGTTCATGGTCGTCACCGAGACTCGGGCTCGCGCGTGGAACAACAAGAAGGACATGTGGTTCAAGTTGAGTGCGAGGAAGTGGAACAAGATATACGACTTCTTGTTCCTGCAAACGCGGCCGAAGAGAGACACTGACGACGAGTACGTGCGATTCAAAAGGGTGAGTGGATCGTGGCCGTCGCTGTCCCGGACGGAGGATGGATGCCCCTCCCTCGCGGGTCGAAGTCTGACTTCCTCGAGGTCGCTAGAATTGCGATCCTCCAGAAAGTGAGGGCCGAGAATGACTCTTTCGCACCCGAAGACGTGTCCGTCATTTCCACAGTCGGGCGATTGTTCGCCGAACTTGAGGACAAGTGCTGGTTGGAGCTGATGGAGGACTACTACGACCTCAATACGAGCCCCTCGAAGGAAAGGGTGGATTGGAAAATCCCCCCTCCCAGTGGGACGCATGTAAGTACAGGATCCTGGAGACCAGACGGTGGGGAGAACGAGGGCGACGAGGCTGGTGGCGGCAAAGGAGTCCCGCCTGGTTCGAAGGGCGGGTCTTAGGGCGGCACCATGACAGCGGAAGGCAGCGGCGGGGTGGCGGGGGAGGCCTTCGGGCGTCAGCAGTCTACCGGTTCCGGTCCAGAAGGCTCGGCGCTGTCAGCAGACGTGCCCACTTCATCCGCCGGCTCGGTGACGGCGGCCTTGGTTGCTCTCTTAGCCGGCTCGGTCGAAACGTTCAAGTCCACCGGGATCCGAACTTCAATGCTTGCAGAGCGGACAAAGAGGACGGACACGCAGAGCTGGTCAGGAGCGGGGGTGGCGAGTCGTGATCCCATAATGGACAGCGGTGCAGTGAGGGACGGGACTGCGCCGCCTGCGGGGGATCGCCAACCGCTTCGGCCAGAGCGAGAGGGTACGTGTGGAGGGCCCAGCGACAGGGAGACAACGAAGTTCGCCGGGATCCGAACTTCTTCAGGCAAGGGGGGCCAACCAGGGATTGTGGTGCCGGCGGGAGGGGCTGCGTGCGGCGGGCGGGAAGGGCATTCGTCGGAATTCGACACGGGTTCGGGCGAAGTGGCTGGATTACATGCACGGGAAGAAGGCAGGGTGATGGACAAAGAGAAGGAAGGGGAGGAAGGAGACACAAGGGAGGAAGGAGACACAGGGGAGGAATTGGAGGAAGGAGGGGAGGAAGGGGAGGAAGAAGAGGATGAAGGGGAGGAAGGAGAGGAAGGGGAAAAAACGGAGTTGGCTGGGTTGCTAGGAGGGAAGGACGGGGAAAAAGGTGAGCTCGATACTGGAGACGACGAACGGACGTTCGGCGACGACGATGACAGATATGGGGAGTCGTCTGACGGTTTCGTGCAGCTATACGGAGAACATCGCGAGGAAGACGACGACGACGATGACACAGCACTGGGTATGGAGACACAGGTGGTCACAAGCCTTTCGGCAGAACGTGATGACTATGAGGTCGACGCAATGACGTCTGCCGTCGATCTCCAACACCGGTTTAATGAAGCTCGTGTTGCAGTCAGCCTGACTAAACCGAGTGTGCGTATTGACATCGAAGAAGTTATCGACGACATCCTAGGCGACCACCACATGTCCGCGCAGCCGTCCTCGACACCTGGTGTCGATGACCCTCTCGACATCACACATTCCGGGGGATCTGTCGTGGCTTTCTCGCCGACGAACTCTCCGATGCTGCCGCCGACAATCGTCAGCGGAGGAGAAGGGGAGATCGGGGGACGACAAGATGTCACATCCCCGAAAAAAACTGCCGTCGGCACTCGAGCTCTCGACGTGCTGGCCTTCCCCGCACCAACTTCGCCGATTAAGGAGCGGAGAGACAAACCAGCTGGTAAGCAGTGACAAACGCCACTCTGTCTGCGCGCCAGTGACCGTAGTGTCTGTTTTTTGCAGGGAGTTCCTGATGCCGACATGCTACAACCACCACTCCTTCAAACTTCCAAGTGCATGTGAACGACCATCCTGTGAGTCGGCCAGGTCACTGGTTGTGTGCAGGGCATACGAGACAAAAACTTGTGTGTTTTTGTTGAAGCGTTCCCTCACATAATGGAAGGATGGTGTTTCTTTCTAGGAATGAGTGGTGGTCTTAGTCCGCCGGGATCCGCACTGCCAAGGCCGCTGCGTAATGCGGTTACTCTTTTTGTGCCTCGATTGGGAAAAGTTTGTCGGGATCCTGACTTCATAAATGTGTGGCCTCCGCGTTTGTGGCTTGTTGAGGTTTTCCCTTCTGAAAGGCGGGGGTGTCGAGGTCGAACGCACTGCTCCTTTTGTTTTCCAGCGGGGCTTGCACGGAAATATTCTCTGTCTCTCTTATGGCTAAATGGGGTTTTGTAATTAGATAGGTCCTGCGTCTTCTATATTTCGTGGTTCTTGAATTGTCGTTTTCGTCGGATTCGTCTTGGATTACGTATATTCATTTTCCGTTTTTTCTTCCTTCGGTTGTACAGGGGTTGGGTCATATCCCTGGGTAGGAAAAGTCCGTCGGGATCCGGACTTGAGAGATGTTTCGCTTCCACTTATGTGACTTGATGTGGTTTTCCCTTCTGAAGGGCGGGGGTGTCGAGGTCGAGTGCACTGCTCGTTTTGTTTTTCAACGTGGCTCATGCAGAAGTTCTCTCTCTCGCACTATCATGGCATAACGGGGTTCTGTAATTGCATAGGTCCTGCGTCTTTTAGATTTCGTGGTTCTTTTCTTGTCCTTCCATCGGGTTCTTCTTCGAAAACGTGTATTCATTTTTCGTTTTGTCTTTATTCCGTTATACAGTGGTAGGGTCGTCTCGAACACGGAGGCCTTCTAAATATCCGGAAAACATATTGCAAACAGTCCCGGGGTTGACGACAAAACACAAGGACATGTTAAAGGCGTCAAGGGTTGATGTCGAAATCGGGAAGAAGGAGCATGCCATTGCCATTGAGGAGTGTCAAAAGGGACATATCCACGATCTGTGACTAGGGGTCAGGCCATGTATGAGAAATACTTAGCTACTCGTCGTGCGATGAAGGAGAATCCTTAAAGTTCCGTTTCTCACTTCCCCCCCTGTCCTTTGCTCGATGTTGTGTAGTGCGGGCCACGACACCTGGAACAACTGTGACTGCGATTGGAACCTTGCGGGTTTTGGACGACATTGAACGAGACCTGGTGCCACCTGACACTGTACTCTCGACCCTCAGCGAGGGTCAGTTGCGAATTGCAGCGAAGGATATTCTCACCCTCCCACCTACGTTACCGAACGTACACGTACGGGGCCTTTCCGTACAAAACGTACAAATAATATTTGTACAGGAACCTATACGCCCTCGTACGACCCGTACGAAAAAAAAAAAAAAAAAAAAAAAGTCATCCAAAAAATCCGAAAAAGTTATATATGATGTAAAATCCCAAGACAAGCAACATTTGCCGTAGCACCATCTGCAAATTCTTATTAGAATTGGAGAAAACAAATAAAAACAGTAAAATAAAATTAAAAAAAGTCATACGGGCCTTGAGTACAAGTACCGCACAAGAAATGAGTACAACTTGTACTCGTACGGGGGTGAGTACGAATCGCAATGTAGCCTCTCACTTACTCACGGTAGGGTGAATGATGAGGTGGTCAACTTTTACATAGCGCTATTAGGAACGACCGCATATGGGATACCTGACATCCCGTCAGGCCTTCGAGTCTTCAGCTTTAATTCTTTCTTCTTCAGTAAACTACAACTTCAAGGACATGGCGGGGTGGAAAGATGGGCTAAAAACGTGGATTTGCTTCAATATGATATTATCTCTGTTCCAGTACTCAAATATAATGATCACTGGATCCTCCTTTCCGTGAACTTGAGAGATAATGTTCTTGAGATTTTCGATTTTTTTCCTTTCGTTGTAGCCGATTTTGGTTTTTACCTTAGTGTTTTCGAGTTGATCGTCCACTATTTGGAATGTCAAACATCACATAGGCGGTCGTGCAGGCGCGGGAAGTCGGTAGCAACAAATGTTGTTATAGAGGGAGTTCCAAGACAAGTGGATGGAGTTAGTTGCGGGGTGTTTATGTTGATGTTTGCGACACTGTTGCAACGTGGCGATCGACCGCCTTTCAAGTTCTCTTGTAAAAATATTTCGTATATTAGACGACAATTGGCATCATGTATCTTGGAATGTCGTTGTCTTTGATGGATTCGATTGATTTGCAAACTTCTATTTCAGAATATTTTATATTTTTACTTTCGCTTTCACAACGACATTACTTTCTTTTGGTGTTGCGAATTTGAGTTGTCTTTGGTATGTTGACTGCCAGTCTGGCGTCGCGTGTTGCCTTCAGAATCTCTGTCAGATCCGGCTTGTCTGTCGTGCCATTACATTCATCGCATTGTATTCCTCGTTGCAAATTGTGTCCAGGTCATCCCAAGTTGTGCATATAATTCACCTCGAAATGATATTCGTGTGTGTGGTGCGACATGACGAATTGGAGTGTGGACGCAAGACAAATCTCGGCAAGTGTGTGGGTGTGAGGTTTGTTATGCAAAGAGTAAAAGAGCAGTGACATCACGTCTCTTGTGTGCATAGACAATCATGTACTTGTGACCGCCTGAATTACATGTAATTGATAATTTTGCGTTCGTGTCCAGAAAAATTAAATTGTATGTCAAAAATAACTGTTTGTACTTCTAAAGAAGTCTGAATCTCTACAACATCCAGACAACCGCATCGGGCGAGACGATGATCATAAAAGAAATAAATAGTATTATCCGACAAGGATTCAATCATGACACCTTGCTCATCACATTCACAAACTTGAAGTTTGACAAGTGTGGCTCCCGACACACTATCGCACAGGCATCCCGGGTGGGCGTGCCTGTCGCTACTCTACGTCTTCTAATAGAATTATCCAACAAGGATGCAATCATGACACATTGCTCGTCACAATTGTTGAATTGAAGTTTAACAAGTACGGATCCCAGCACACTTCCATGCAGGGTTCCCTGATGCGTGTGCCTGTCGTTATTCATTTATGAAGTTTAACAAGTACGGATCTCGACACACTTCGGCACAAGATTCCCGACACATTTCTGAAGTTCAACAAGTAAGGATCCCAGCACACTTCTGCATGGGGTTCCTTTATGGGCGTGTCTATCGTTATTCGTTTATGAAGTTTGACAAGTACGGATCCCAGCACACTTCCGCACAGGATTCCCAGCAGTGCCATGTTTTTGAAGTTCAGCAAGTAAGGATCCTGGCAAACTTCCGCACAAGGTTCCCGTGCGGCGTGCCTAACATGTACGGGTTTGAACACGCTTCCTCATTTGGGATATCATTTATAAAGTTTCACAAGTAGCCAAAAATTAATTCGTTAGAAAGATGACATAAAATAATGTCATATTTTAACGAATAACATGTTCTTATCGCTTGCAGGTTAATCGTCTCATAGCGAGATGACGGAAGGTAACAGGCTGAATGACGATCTTTGGGACAACATGGAGAAGTTGATTGAAATGCTCGAAGAGAAGATCGAAAGAGCAGCTACTGCTCCTAAGATCGATGTGCCGATTTTCAATGAAGATAATGTTGTACAATTTCTTTCAACTTTCAAATAATTGGCTGCTACTCATGAGTGGAGTGAGCAGATGATGTTGAAGAGAGTGATGTCATGGGTGCATAATAACATGCGTAATAATGTAGCAAAGTTGGTCTCTGAAGCTAAAAGTTGAAACAATTTCGAGAGATTAATGATTGCTAAGTTTTCTGAGTCATCTTTAGGCGAAGACAGAACGGGGAAGAGAAAGCAAGGAGATTTCAATAGTGATAAGCATGTGAGCGTGAACAGTTCAAGCATTATCACAAACTCACTAAGGTTGAGAGAGTTGCGCGTAACTTGGTGCAAGGGGGTCAAGGAACCAGTCATCGGGACAGGGGAGTCGGAAATGTCAGACCGTTTAAATCTCGAGGAGATATTCCAACCGCTTCGGATGTCAAGTCGCCAACTCATATGCATGGTGAACCACTAAGTAAGAAGGAAAGGAGGAGGCAGACTTTAACCTACTCTAAGTCTTTGAAATATATCTATTGTGCTCTAAGTGGTCAAAGTATAAAATTTTCCAGATATTTCAAATTGGATGTGGAAAAGGGTATTGTTAATAGAAACGAGGAGGGGATCTGGCTTAACTAGACGAATTCTCCAATCATCCTGGTTGAAGGGGATAAGAGAAGTATGAGAGATGTAATAGTTAAACAAATGTGGAGTAAGATTAATTAATTGAATTAAATTGTTTCGAGTTAGACTAATGTTCCACCTGATTTTCTGTTAATGCTAGAAAAAATGGACGCAACGAGTGGAAGCGAAGGTGGTCATCAAGATAGGGATATATCGAATCTTCAAAGGATAGTTCATCTCCTAGAACACAGGGATACAGGGAGGGAAAGTTTGCTAAAAGTCAAAATACTTATTTTCGATGACAACTTTGTTTCTAATTTTCTGGATAAATTTATGCAACTTGCATCGATCAATAATTGGGATGATCATAAAATGTTGCGACTGATTCTGAGATATTTTGAAAAAGATCTTGTGGATGTAGTCCAAAAAATAGTTGGAGCATCAACATGGTCGGATTTTCGAAATGTCATTTTTAAAGAAGTTTTGGCAAGGGGATAAATTGACAACATTAGAGGATTTGAAGAATATCAAGCGGAATGCGTACGTAGTAGACGAGAAATTTCTTCTTGACTATGAAAGGACCGCTCGTCGGATACAAGGTTTAACATATAAACAAAACTGTATTGCTTTTCTCGTAAATTTCTCTGAGGCAGAGCAGCAGAAGTTCATCCGTGGGATAACCGACAAATCAGATTGGGCTAGGATCCGATTAAATTTCAACGAAGGGAATTTGAATCAGACACTTCGTCTGCAACTCCGCCTGATGCAGTCTGAGAGACAATGTCAAACTGATAAAAGAAAAGAGGATTCAACTATCACTTCAATGATCTTAGAAGTAAGGAAGAAAATGATGAGTGAGATAAAGAAGGACTTAGAGAAACAGTTAATAATTGATTCGCTTCTCATTAATAGAAAGAGTAAGAAAGTTTGTATGAATAACCTCTCCACTCGGGTTGCTCAAAAGGAGGAGTCATACCTGTTACTATCTCGAGGATGAGAAAAGCGGCGAACGGAGAAAGGGAGAGAATATTGGTAGAACATTGTGTTTAAAAGTTGTGGTAGAGTCGGACATACTCCGAGTAGGTGTAAGGGGTCGAAAGTTGACGAAAAATAAACCGTTTAATTTATGTGTCATTTTTTTACAAAATGTTGTAATTCTCTGTGGGGTCATGATTTTTTCTACCTCTCAGAAACAGATTTAAGGTAAGACCATTTTATAAATATTTTGATGAGGTTGTGCTATTCGAGTTTTGTTTGATGAAGTTGTTAAAGTATATCGTATGCAATTTTATTTTTGTAGACATTGTTCGAACCGTCTACAAAAACATATTAAAGAAAACCATTTTTAAACGTTCTGATTCAAATTATTACATTTTGTTGTTATATTTTTAATAATGGACAAATGCACGAATATATGATCTCTCATTTAGATCAACCTAACGCTTGGGCGCGATGGTGATGTGTTTGCCTTGTGAATGTGATTTTGGATGTGTATTCGTTTTCCATAAGACATGTATTTGAGTTATACATTAACATTATAAGTTTAGAGATCTTGTTTGCTATCATGTCATAATGTTTTTGCGATAAATTTGTGAGCTCTGTAAGTGATGGTGAGGCGTACGCCATAGTTATACTCCTGGTCCATAGTGGGATGCTGTCATCCAGATCCTGTGTCGTTTAAGGAAGGAAGACTACACTATCATTGAAAGGGATGAAGGTGTTGAAGGTGCTCATCAGTTTTGATGGTGACCATGACAATCACCGCTAAGAATATTCGGTTTGGATTTAGCACTCAAACTCGATTGTTTTTATCGGGTTCACCTCGATGGGAAAGAACGTGAGCTGGTAACTCACATCGGACTTAGTAAGGTTCAGACTATCCTGTTCATACTGATAAATTGTTGAGTATTTCAAGCACCGGAATCGAAGGGCATGTGGTAAGACTCGAATCTAAAGCGGGGCTTGATGTTGAGATGTTATCACTTGAAGAGGATTAAACCACTCCTCGATGCATATCACAGAAAGATCGACAACATTTGACATGGTATGAAGTATAGTAAATTTCACTATAGTAATTTCATGTCGGTGCTTAAA